CTCCAAAGAGACTCCGTTGCTCTTGAGTACTTTAGAGAAGACTGAAGGTAAAGCATATTAATAAGAATGTAGTTTAAAAAAAAAGGTAAAGCAGGAGGCAAACAGTTCTTTAACAACTGAAGCTCTGGTCTCTGCTTCCTGTGCCTTTATTGAAAATTTCTAGTAAGTAAATCACAAAGAGAATTCAATGTAAATGAAGCTAAGCTCTTTCTATTGAAAACCTTATGCTTGATTCAGAAGGGAAAGGTTAGCTAATACAATACAAGAATCCTAAAAAAAAAAAAGAATCCTATAAACCTGTAAATGCTTAAGGTTTGCCTTAGTGCCTAACTCTGTAAACATCTAAACTTTGCCTTAGTGCTTCAGGGTGAATTCCAGCTTGTATCCAAGCTTCCCTCACACCCTGAAATAGCATTTGGTTTATTACAAATATTTAGTATGAAATTTGGATTCCCATAGTTTAACATATAATGTCATGATTTTAGGCTTCAGAAAGCCCATTAAAAAAGGAACAAGGAAAATGAGAAGATTTGGCCACATTAGAAAATATTTTATTATCTGTGAATCAATTTGAATCCCCAAGGTAAGGCAGGTGAGATCAGGCTAAAAAATAAAGATACTGGAACAATTTAAAACTGGAGGCAAGGAAGAGAAATCTCTGAAATGAGGCTAGCATAATTTTTGAAGGTGGATTCAGTAGACTAAACTTCAGTTCGTCTGTTAACCATTTGTGGACAACAGAACCAGGCATAATTTAACTTCACTGAAAAGATTTCCTCTGGTGGCCTAGTGGTAAGAAGTTACTCTGTAATCCTCAAGGCATGCAGTTCAAATCTACCAGCTGCTCTTTGGGAGAAAGATGGACAAATTCTATTGTGATTAACATCCTTGGAAAACCCCCCAGAGCATCAACTATGAGTCAGTTCCAACTCAATGCATACAACAACAACTATACTTATACTATGTAGGTCAATTAAAAATTAGTATAAAAGGTAAAACAAAGAAAAACGATATTCACATTGATATTGTTGTTAAGAATATAGAAGAAATCAAGCTTGAGTGCTGAGCCACGATCAGAAATAAACACAGAAAATATTGTGTTCCTTTTGGTGTAATATTTTACTCTCTATATAAGTAATAATTACATGTATCTTAAGCACAAAAGAGTCACATTTTATAGGCATTTGCTATTTTATTTTTTGTTTATATTAAATAATTATTTTTATAATCATAGCTTAAACAGTAACAACAAATCTAAAACTGTCATCAATTCATTGATGTGATCAAGCCAGACAGTAAAAACGGAGCAGAAATGAGAGAACAACTAGTTGTATATGTGTTAAGAGACAACGTTTATTCCCTTTTTTGTAATTAGTCTAGATTCCCTCAGTGATGAAGATGTTTTTGTTAGGTGCTGTCAAGCGTGACTCACAGCAACACTAGGAACAATTTATTTGAACCCTATCCTAGACTCTGCCATTCTCAGCATCTTTGGTATACTTAAGCCATTGCTGCAGTCACCATGTCAATCCATTTCTTTGAGGATCTTCCTCTCTTTTGATGACCCTCCACCTTTCCAAGCATGATGCCCCTTCTAAGGAATAGCCCCTCCTAGTGACATGTTCAAAGCATGTCAGATAAACTTGGCCATCCTTGCCTCTAACTCTGGGTGACTCTTCTCCAACTTATCTGTTTGTCGTTTTGGCTGTCCATGGGCTATTCAGAACTCTTCTCAAACACAACAACTAAAAGGCATCAATTCTTCTTCTGCTATCCTTGTTCATTGTCCAGCTCTCAGATGCATAAAATTGGTTGAAAAAGCTAACCTAAATCAGACATACATTAATTTTTAAATTGATTCCATCGTTCGTTAGTACTTAAGATACGACTTTGACAGAAGTCTTCCGTAATGAAATATATCTTCTCATTTCTTGATTGCCAGGACCAAGAGTCTTCTTTGTGGATCCAAGTAAGACGAAAGTGTTAGCAGTTTCAATCTTTTCTCCATTTATCATGATGTTACCTAATGTCCCAGTCATGAGGATTTTTGTCCTCT